CTTTCCCTATGACAGAAACCCTTAGCCTATTTCTCCAATAAGCCAGTAAAATTGTCTTTTTCCTCTCATATTACATAAATGGGAAATGAGTTAAAATTGATTTTAAACCATTTCAGCTGCAATCTTCTGAGGCATATAAAGGTTATTTAACAACAACAAAAAAAACTGAGCTGAGAATATCAGTTTAAACCTGCATATGATCTGTTAAGTTTGTTTTTCAGTTCTGCCTCTGCATCGTTTCATAGAATTTCTTTAATTGCTCTGAGTGCCTCTCCCCTCTTCACCCGCCCTTTGGGCTGCTAATCGCATGGACCACTCAGGATTGTTTTCTGTCGATTTGTTTCTAGGTGAAAACTCATCCAGTGGAAATCTAGGCCAGTGCAACTCTTGTACCACATCTCTAAAATAAAACTTTATAGGCCCATCTTTTTTTTTTTTTTTTTTAAAGAAAAGGGTACTTCACCTTGATTTTTATTTGTCTAAAGTAGCTTGTGTACAAATCTTTATGCCTTTTTATGGAAACTCAGAAAAGTCGTCTCCATTCTCCACGCACCAACTGAATGCACAAAATGTTAATGTGCATTCACTTTTATTTTATTAACGGACTATGAAAAATGACCCTTAACTGAATTCTCAATATAGCGAACAGGTTGATTCTTTGTTTGAAGAAATTCAGATGATCTTCCTTCTAGTAGATGTCAGTGGAAGAATAGATTTTGAGTAGGGGACCATGGGAGGATCAAAATCACATTCAAGGCTAAGTAACAATGCAATGAAGGAGAAGCTGGATCACAGTGAGTAAATTCCAACCTCTGAACTATCAAGGACTCCTTGAATAGCTACTTCTCCTTCCAAATCATCTGTAATTACAAATTAATGACCCATGACCCAGATTCAGCTTTCAGACATGTATTGTTTGGCCTGCACCATGTAGGCTCCGGTGTGATTTAAAATAATTTGACTATTATCTACCTTTCGAAATTGAGAAAATATATGGTAAATGTGGATTTCTGCCTCTTGTGAAAAATAGAAAAATCTGACAATCATGGGCCTATATTAATGCATAGCAATTATCGTCTGCCGCTGAGTAGTGGTTGCAGGTAGCGATCTGTGGGGTTCTTGATACAGAATGTGTCCTCTCCTATTTTTCTTACCACATACTACCTCCTTTTTATCTGTCACATATGCCAGCTTCACTCTGTTATCACACATATCTGGCCTCTGTAGTCATTTGAGTTTCAACCCCCGTGTCACATGCAAGTTCCTGAGATAGTATCAGCCAAATGCAAATTAGTTCACCCCCGAGTAGGATTATAGCCCACATTCTAGTTTGTTCCCCTGACTGGCTTAGCAGACCAGACAACGGGTGTCCCTTTACCTCTCTCCCTGGACTAGACACACCAATTACTCTGAAATCCCTCTTTCTTGACTAGACTTCTGAATTTCAGAACAAAAAATGCTTTCTTGGTGAAGGCATTGCCTCCTCGCCTCATCCCCAGCCCTGCCACCTCCAACCTGAAATGCCTCTAGAAAGGTCATACTTCCTAAAACCCCTCTTCCCCTCTCATTCTTCACAGGATTTTAGTCAGCTTTCAGGCCTCCCCCAAAGACCTTACTTCAAGTTTTATACTTGGGTGGTAAAACCAAGGGAAGAGAACATCTACAATGCTGTCTTCTCTGGCAATTCCGCCTCTGCTCCAAATCTTTTCGTATCACATTCTGCAACATTTTTATGCAAGGCCATCATTCTGTGTCTCTCTTGTATGTTTCCATCCATTCTTTCAGCACGTAAGCTCCTACTATGTACCAGGCACCTAGTGTCTAAAATTTTGTTTTCACCTTCAAATAGATCATGGCTTATTGGGAGAAATAGACTTAAAAGCAGTTACAGGGAGATATGCATTGAAAACTTACATTAAGAGGGTTTAGGTTGTGAAGGAGAAGTCACTTGTAGGTGGTGGGGACAACAGTCTGAGGGACCACAGTGGGCTTAAGAGGCAAGGCAACATCTGAGAACAGTCTGGAAGAAAAGTACAGCTTCCTTTTGATAGGGGAAAAGAGTGAAGGTCTTCTGACTGGAGGTGATAAGATACGTAAGGCTTAGCTGTGTAAAATGGCAAAGATTTTGGAGGGTGGCTGCGGGAGCAGTTTTATCATTCTGCATTGGACATGAAGAGTTGAGCTGGTGATGAGACAGCCACTGATGACCACCAGCAGGTGTTCTAGTAAGGGGCCCTCTCTTCTGCTCTGACTCAGACCATCCTTTCCTCCCCTTCAACTTGTTCTTTCAACTCTGGGGAGTCCAAACTGACTTCACCGTCCCACGCTTGCCGTTCCTTATGGTCCCGCTTGTTTTCAATTGTCTTTACGCTCTTTGCAAAATTATATTTTCAAAGTGATTTTTAAGGTAGGTGTTTTTATTTGTAAATATCAACGAGATAACATTTAATAAATGCTCCCTATGTGTAAAGAACTGCATGAAAATGGAATACAGTTAGAATAAACCTTACATTGGATTGAGATTTCTTTTCTCACAATAATGTGTTAAATTCTAACCAACTGTGGCTTTTATATGTTTTGAATACTTCTGACTAGAGAGAAATGCATCCTTTGAAAACAGTCCGGTGGCATCGGTTTTGAAAAAGAGGTAAGTTGTGAATATAGCAGAGTAGATGGCTGTGTCCAAACACTGCACACACTTTTATGCTCACTTTAGTCTCATCCGGTTTTCTCTGACCTTATGCCTTGAGCCAGGCCTTCTCACTCATGAACCACTTGGCTAGCATCAAAAATGAGCATCAAACTTCACAGGCTCCTCTGTAAGACTGTCCTTGGAATCTTAGTCAGGACATTTTTTTTTTTTTTAGTCTGGCCTCAGACTTGCCCCTGAATTTGAGAAAAGATTTAGCACTTCTGCTTCCTGCCTTGGCATTCCTAATCAGATGCTTTGCTCTTGGTATCCGGCTTTCTCTTTTCTTGCTACCCCAGGAAACCATCTGCTTGGCCAAGTCTCTGTCCTTGAGCCACAGTGGCCGACATGGTGTCACATCTGCTGGGCCCACCTACCTCTATACAAGAGGAATTCAGGCAAACCCTACCCTTGTCTCTGAAGGTGATCTTAGCTTTCTAAGTAGTAAGTGGCCTTCCACTGGTCGTCATGGACCCATTAGTGAATAGACGATTATTTAAGCTATCAGTGTTTCTCAAACTTTCCATGCATCTGAATCTCCTGGAGACCTTGCTAAAACCTAGATTCCTGGCTTCAACCCCAAATTGCTGTTTTAGTTGCTCTAAGATGGGACCTGAGTATGTGCATGTCTTATAAACTCTCAAGTGATGCTGATGCTGTTGGTCTGTGGACTACACTTTGAGTAACACTGTAAATGGCTCTATGATCTGGCTTACTGGTTCAGATGTGGGAAGTGGGGAGCAATGATGAGTCAGTCACCTAGAGAGAGTTTTAAAAACATATATATCAGCCCATTCTTCCTACATATTTTTGGTATAGTATGTTCCTTAGGATTGGACTAGTGCCTGAGAAGGAAATTGGGATCCTGGACGGAAGTATCCTTCTCACTGTCTGTCTTGAATTGTCATAACTGGAGCTGGTGGGGAATTGTTGAGAAAGAGAATATCTATGTGCTCACTACAGTCAGGTTCCACTGGGGTTATAGATAGCGTAGAGCTTCCAGCTGGGTCAGGGGTTTACAGAACTCAGAACAAGGTGAAGAGAGGGCAAAATTTAAGAGAATGACAAAAACCTCAGGAA